AACTGCCAGGCTGCGCGCGGACCGGCGGCGCGAGGACACCTGGGCGGCCGCGGGCCGGAGGCGGGGGCGAGGGGCGGGGCCTGTGCGCCGTCCCCCAATCGCGACCCGCCAGGCCGAGGCGCCCAATCGCGCGCTGCCACGTAGGCCAACGGCGCCGCTCTCCGGAGCCCGGCCGGAGAGTTACCCGGGCTGCAGAGAAGGGGGAGGAGCCTGAGTGCATTATTGGAGGGTTCGGTTCTCGAACCTGGGGACCTGAGGACGCCCGCGCTTGGGATTTGTGGGCGACGGCAGACTTTTAGGCAAAGGGTCCTGGTGTGCCGGACCGAAACACTCCCCGGGAGACGGGCAAGGAAATGAGCCGCCAGCCGTGAATAGCGGGAACCTTCTTCTGGGCCTCCGAACTTGAGGTTGAGGATGAAACTTTTTAGGGGGCCGGTGCAGGGGCCCACCTGGGTATGCTGGCTCCGGGAAGGGGAGCCCGTCACGCGGGCTTCGCCCCTGGGAGCCCGCGGATGTCGGCGAAATCCCCAGGCGAAGGTCTTTGACAGAAAGATCTTAGATTTCGGTGGTGTCGGTTTTGGATTCTCCTGTCTGGTTGTGCCCCTTTGATGGGGGGGGGGTCGGGGGGGTGCGGAAGAATAGGGTGGGGACTGGCAAATAGTTTCCAGTCAACAGGAAGTGGGTTGAGGCCATTCCGCCGTCTTTGTAGCCAGTAACAAAGCACGAGGCCGAAATGGGCCCCTCCTGTTTTCTCTGGTTACCCTTGACTTCCAAGATTTCTGAAAAACATCCTTTTTTTCCTCTTCTTCTTCGTCTTGCATTGAAGTTCCTGATTGTGCCTTGCGGCCTCTCCAGTCAATTATAATTTGCAGTTTTTCAGATCCACAGTGACGGTCAGCAGTTGCTGTTATCTGCACAGTGGTCCTTTAATGATCCTTAGGTCTGTGCTCATGCTGGGGAGATCTTGGCTTTTTTGTGTGTGCGCCAAAGACCCCTTTGGCAATCTGATGAGGCCTGTTTCTCTGAGCAGTGCTTTTAAATGCATAAAGTGAAATACGTAGGATTACAAAGGCAATGAATTAAGCTGAAATAGTTATCAAACATATTAAAGCCAACTTTGTTATATAGCAGTAGTTCTTTTATATGTGTGTATGTAGTTGTATGTGTTTCTTTTTGCATATTTAATCCCGTTATTTAAATGGGAGCTGGCACCAAGTCTAATGAAATGCTGCAATTTCAAAATAGTGAAGAACTTGAGTATTTTGAGATGTCTGTAACAGCTGCACTGTGAAAAGAAGCCGATTTTTAGTGTTAACAGTTACAGCTAATACTACTTTGGTTATTGCCTACTTTTGTAGAGTTGAAGGAAACACATTTAATTAAGAGGTTTGTGAAAATAAGGGCGTATATTGTTTCCTACATAAGTTTTTGAACACCTGGGATTCTGTCTATGGACCCCAACCACGTTAAGAATCCCTGGCATAAAGGGAAGCCCTGTGTATGTCAGGTTCCAACCCACAGTCCTTAGAAGATCCTCTTTGAAGACTCAAAAATTATTCTCATGCCTGTGCAGTGGTTTCAACAGATTCCCTGACCATTTATTCATTCCATTAGTCTCAGAGAAGCATGTTATTTTAGTGGAGGGAAAAGGAGGAAAATTAATGCTTTCCTTCTTCCAAATGGTGTTTACATTACCTCTAGAAAAAAAGTCAAGTTAACAGAAAAAAAGAGAATGACAAACTCTAAGAAGACATTCAGTATAGAGATTAAAGTGACAACCGAATGGCCTCAAGTTTCACATGAACCGTCATCCAATCGCTTTATTTTACAGATGATGAAACAAAGCTAGACAGGTTAACTAACAGGATTACAAAAATGAGTTAATGAAAAGGCTGGATTTCCGTTCTTGCAGTCTCTCCCCAGTATTTTCTATCACACGGTGTTAGTGCTCCTTTGCCACAGTGTGTCACCCAATGAATAAATGCGGAATAAACTGTTCATTATGAAATCTAAGTGGCAGATTTTATTTTGCTTACCTATACAATAAGCATGTTTTAGACGAATTGTGTGTCCCTTTGTACAAATCTAAGTTTGTCACTATAAGTTTAAAAAATGACGAAGGATGTCATTGCTGGCCCATTATAAAAATAGCATTTTTAAATTAAACTTTTGCATCACCCATTTAAGTATATTTCACTTGAATGTGACTCTTTGACACCTACCATTGTCTTATTTATGAAGTACCTGAACATGTTCCATTTAAAATTAATCAGATATTTTGCATCACTATTTCTTCTTGAAACTTTGTTTCTACACAGAACAAAGGTGTACTGATAACTTATTATCATCTGCAACAAAATTTAAGTACTAATATTCAGTGTTAATTTTTAAAAATTAACATTTTCTGGGATTAAAATGTTAACATTTTTATTTGGTGTTATCTTTCACTTATTACAGTTGATTAAAACAACATGAGAAAGTCTCAAGCTTTGATTAAAAATTATAGGACAAAAAATTTGTATTGAAAATGCAGCTTCTACAAGGATGCATGGTATGAATAAATCATGCTTCCATTAATGACAGGACTAGTTGCAAGAACGAGGTTTGCATGTCTTTCTTTTGTAAAATTGGAACCATCAGCTGGGAGTAAAACCAGCTCAGTATTATGTAATATGCCTAGAAGGTGACGTGAACAAGGTTCAGAAGTACACTGAATCTTTGGTTTAATAATCACTCATGAAAAATGTCATCTTTTACTATAACCTTTGCCTAAATTGGAGAAAAGATGAATTTAACGAGATGACTGAAAAGTTGAATGTAACCCACAGCAGAGCACAATATGCTTCTATGCTTTGGTGTTTATTCTCTAGTACTTGTTCCTCATAGTAGATTCTGGGATGTTTTCAAAAGACTGTACCTTTTACTGATTGTGGGCTTAGTAAAAATTGTTCTTGATGTTTTTTTAAAGCATGTAAGACATTGGTTATTGGAGTGTGATTAAAGAAAGTTTGTACCTTTGACAGGCAGGTGATGCATACAAGATTCAGGATGTATTCTTTTTTTCTAAAAAGTGGGATACCCAGCTGTGAAATAGGAGGTGCAGAAGAGAGTAGATAATCTCCTTCCACCGCAGGCACACTGTCAGGCAGGTAGACCTAAAAAAAGTAGACATGACATTTAGGCGTCTGGAAATAGATTTTGTTGAAATTACCAGAGACTTTGTACCCTTGTTTTAAAACTATTTTATGTAACCCCTGAAATCACTTTAACTCAAACCAGTCATTTACTCTTTGTTTCCAACCAAAGTATTCTACGTATTATATGTTTACACCTTTTCCTCCTTCGATTTAATGACATCCCCAGCTGAGGGGAATCTTTAAATGCTACGTTGACAAGTTTGGACAACTTGACAACTTGACAGGCCATTTGATATCGCAAGGAAACAAGTGGAGGATGCTTGGAAGAAGATATAGGTCATAAAACAAGGGCTTAGACATGGGAGACGAAGGAGAGGAAAAGATAGAACAGGGTCAGTGGACCAAGCGTCAGGCACCCTCGCAGGGTAAAGTGACAGGCTGGTTGCACGAAAACTTCCCCCACGCGGCACCGTACACAGCAGGAAGTGCTGAGTCAGAGGGTCCCCTTTCCCATCGCCCGCCCCATTTGCGGCTGCAAGCCAAGGCACAGGTGCGGCGAAAGACAGTAGCTTCCTATGCGTCACCTTCTTTGCAATTATTGCTGCGCCATATCATTTCGATAAAATTTTAAAAAACCAGCCTCACAACGCTGCGTAGAGATCGTGTCAGCATCCGCCACGCCCCAGCTGCAGGTCTTGGAAATCTGGCGGGGCGTTTGCCGCGAGGCCCCGCCTCCCGTGGGCGGCTCCCAGCGATGATTGGCGTCATGGGGAGACTGGAGCAGATCCGGTCCGGGGGATAGGGACCTGTGTTGGAGCCTGTTTTTGTTGTTGTTGTCGTCTTTTCCCCCTTCTTTTTTAAACACCTGTTTGAGGCTGGAGGACTCCCCACCGGCTTTGCCAACCCTTCCCTAACTGCGTGGTCGTCTGGGACGCTTCCACCCACCTTTTCTCCCTCTCTTCCTGACTCGGGGTCAGACTTGCATTGCCGCCTGATGCCTATCCCAGCCCTCGACTATTTTTCCTCGCACAGGCACAACCCCCAGTTGAATCCTGGCTCGTCTAAACCCCCTCTGGGCGTCTGCTTCTCGGAGGACCCGAACTAAGAGTTTCCACCGAAGAAACCGAGGCTCCCCTGTCTAAAGCTTCGCCACTGCTGCCCCCTAAAGGCAAACGCCGGTATTACCATTCCTACCCAAGATTTCAGAGTCAGGTAGGTGGGCGACTTGATGGGCGAAGCTTAAGTCACATGCCCATGCCTAGCTGCACAGAAAGCTGGGAGATCAAGCTCTGGCTTCTTACATCGAGAGGCAGGACGACCATGTGGGAAACTCCATACACTTAGCAAGGCTTTTCAAATGATTCCAACAAATCACGTGCTATGCCAACAGATGCCCCCAAACCCAAGTAAGCTCTACAACGTCAAGTTCCAGGCTCTTGAGTCTCCCTTAATAAAATGGTGAACTGGGAAACTTGGACCAGGCTTCCGGGTGAGAATGTGAAAAACTGGAAAACATATGAAAAAGATCACCTTGAAAGAAACCTCCCTGAAGGCATCAGAGAGCTAAGAGTGTGGTGAAGAATTTCTGGAAAAAAAGATGCAAATTCAGAGACCTAAGCCTGACGTTTGAAGCAACTTTGCTCTTCAGGCTTTTGCCACTTCTGAAAGATGTAGGTGGAAAGACTGAGACTTTTATTTATTTATTTTTTTAACAGCCTTCCAGCGTTGTGGGTACAAGGGTTGAGGCCATTTTCTGCCAAGCGTGGCAGAGTCAAGGTAAATCTCCCATGTTAAAGGTTGCAATTACAATGGCCAAGGTGAGGGGATTGCCTGAGCCCGCGGGTTCGAGAACAGCTGGGCAACTTGGTGTGACCTCCTCTCTACAATAAATAGAATATTAGTCGGGCATGGTAGCGCACACCTGTAGTTCTGGCTACTTGGAAGGCTGAGGCAGAAGGATTGCTGGAGCCCAGCAGGTCGACACTGGAGTGGCTGTGAGCCTGCCACTGCACTGCAGCCTGGGCGATGGAGTGAGACTCCAACTCAAAAATAAAGTAAAATAAAATAAAATCACTTGAGTCAATATAAATGCTGATATCTGGGCCCACAGATTTCCAGGGTCCCAGAGATTCTGATTTAATTGGTCTGAGGTTGAGCCTGGGCATTGGGATATTTTATATCTACCCAGATTATTCTAATGGGCAACCAAGGCTGAGACCCACTCAGCTAGTGATGCCTGGCAGAAGCAAAAATACTTTAAAATAACCTACGCTTACTACATGCGAGAGGATAAAGTAAGATAAAGTTGAGAATTTTGGCAGAAAATTAGAAGCTTAAAAGAGATACAGCTGATTTAGAACAGAGCCAAATAGAAATTCTAGCACTGGTCCGCTTGTATCCCTAATCATGAATTGTACCCCACATCTTTAAAATTATAGATTAAAAAAAAATTCTGGAACCGAAAAA